AGAAATGTCTTTATACGATCTATAGTTTAGATTTTCATGTTTTGATGACGTCATGTGAAAACCGGCAATATAAGCTTACCATTTATTTTGGTGATTCTATTTCCCATAATGCCATTTTTTGTGGGTCACTGAATTTCAGGTTTCGTAGTCTATGGAAATTTATCATTCCTGCACTTTGTTCGGGTCCTGCTTTTCGTCGTGAAGAAAATCATTCAAAGTAACAACTGAAATTGGTTGCCCAACTATTGCTTAATTGCTTCCAAAATCCAGCTTTCTTTGAAGCTAAAAGCAAGTAGCGATTTTTCAGGAGTTTTAACTCTGACCCAACAAAGCAAAACAGTCCAAAATGACGACATTCCAGTGCTTTTTTGATATAAGAAATTATCCTTCTACCGCCATTTGTATAGCCATAGAAACCTTGCCTCTATATTGCTCAATATTCATAATTTCGTCTCCAGATCTCGCTTTACAAAAGGTAAAAATTTGCTCACGAACTCAACATATATTTTGGTACTGTTCGAGAAGCTGTCCGAGTGGAGACTGGTACCTAATTTGGGGAAAATGTCCGCGAATTTTGCTTTAAAAAATATTTTTAATCGTTTTTCCAACTTTTTTCAAATCCTTTTAATAGTATGAAGATATGAGGCTTTTTTTGCAAAACATGTGAATGCGAAGCAGAAAAGGCATCAAAGGAAGACTAGCTCAAGAACTCAACATGAGCTGTCGTACTTCAAACTTCTTTTAGACTTCAAGATATTCACAACCAAGGTGAAAAATGCTACAGCCTTTCGTTTGTTTTCCTGTCTTTTCTTGTGGGGAAAAAAAAAAAACCTCAAATTCTCTCCATAAATGAATGAAAAGCTTAGGAAAATTACAGCATTACAGCAAATGGTATTCAAATTCGCCACCCTTAATATAATTCGTAGTTCGACCTAGTTTTTTGTTTGTCGTACAAAATCGATTGCTGAACAATAATTACCGTGTATATCCTTGATCGAAAAAGTTGTTGCTTTTGAGTTAATAAGTTTTACGTTAAATGTTGTGATTTTCAGATTCCTCATGATTTTAGTTATCTTTAATAATTTATTAAGGTTTTTCAGCGATTTTCATCCATATCTTTTTTTCTTTTTTGATACCGAAGATTTTAATGTTTTAAAAAATCATAAGTCAGTACACTCATTGAACCATTTCATTTTTTGGTCCGTACCGTACGTTATGGACCGCAAATTGACCAATCATAGCGTGTGAAATTACCTAGCCATATAATGAAATTTCATATATTATTTTTTCGGGAAGGTTTGGGTATAAACATCATAAACAAGTAAACGTTTTCAGTCTAGTTGCTTTGCTACGTGTTTTTATATAGGTTATTTATTTACTGAAATAAAGAAATTTAAAGAAATTCAGAATAGCGGATCCAAGATGGTGGATACCAAAGCAGCAAATATCTCCCTAACAGACACGAGTGAAAAACGTCTGCGCGTGCTCTGAATCCGTATGCAAATTAGTCAAAACATAAGTAAATTTGACTTTCAAACATGCCTTATAAATAGGCCCTTTGCAGTTAACGGTCACGTGTCTCTACTGGACTGCAAAGTTTTTGTTTTTATATTAAATTGATGATTCTTTTTAGCTACTTGTAAAGAACTGAATGAAAACATGTGTATCCAGCGTGTTACGAAATGCAGTTTTATTACGATCTCTCAAAACAGGTTGTAGAAAGTTTGTTTGCTCACCAGTATATTTCACCCATGGGAATCAAGATGTTTTTTCATTTGCTCTCAGTGAATTAATCAGCTCGTGATTGCTTAGCTGCAAAGGGCCTATTGGACTTCACGAAATGCAAAAACTTAGTGTCCATGCTTGAAACTTAGGACTAATTATTTCATATTGTGTTTGTTAAGACAGTGGATCTGACAAAAGTATACTCTCGAACGTTTTTGTATACTTGGAGAAAACAAACATTTATTTTCAAACTCTTCACAATTCTTAGAGAACGTGCTGAAGTGCAATTAAGCATGCGCAAACGTTTTTCCCTGGTGCATCCCTAACAAATAACTTTTCAGTACATTTACATTTCTTCCAATAAAAAAATGCTAAAAAAGCTTAAAATGCCTTTTTACCTAAGAACGTTTTTTAAACCGAACACGTACGGAATTTAATTGATAATGACGTATCTATGATGTCAAAAGTCGTTGGCATGAAAAAAAAAAAAGACTATTTGTAACACTTGTCAAGACTGCTGTTATTTGTTTCAGATATATGCATTAGTGGAAGTTCCAGGTTTATAATATGTGTTTGCTGTTGCTAATCTCAACGAAATTCTTAGCGGACGTTAACATTTTATCAAACATCACCTTTTAAAATTTTGTGTTATCCATTACATCTTTGAAGAAACAGTCTTTAAAGACAGTTTCTGTGAATAAATTCGAAAAAATGACGTCATATTGACGTCATATGAGTCATGATATCACCAACGTGCCTATGGCGAATGAAAGTGCGTACATCCTCCTCTGTATATTTGGTGGTCATACACCGTAGTCTAAGAATTACTGGGAGCGAACCTCATAGACCCTTCTCCCCCTCCCCCTCCCCTACGCGATCGTGCCCTGGTCCTTGGAATCTTTAATTGTTATTCAATCGCGCTCCCAGCAACGCGCTCTTAAAAACATAATGCAGCGCATTTCTTTATCTGACATTCTCTTGTCTCTTTCTTACAACTGATCTAGGTATCAGTCCGACCGCTATTGTTCCTGTTGTTGATTGCTATACCGTTGATGCTCCAACCATCGATACTGTGAAATTCATAGAGTGGTTATATAAGCAGGTATCTGTATGTRATCTGAACATAGTGTGCATTGTTATCTGAAATGATAATATCCATTTGAGTTACATCAAAAACCCAGGCACAAAGTTAGGGCATGCGTGGAAGTCCAACTTGTTCTGAGGTTCGTCAGTTTCATACCCAGAGCCAATATTTCTTCTCCTGCGGCGAAGAACGAGGGGTCTGGCATATGATCCCTGTTTTAGCGCATGCACAATTTTCCGGGTGTGAAATATAACCGATGAAAATCATGCTTTTCAAACAGAGCTCTGAGTTTACTTCCGACCAAAATAAAGATTAGAAATCGGGAAAAAATATTTTTAATTTTGGCAAGTCTTTGAACACATGCGCTCTTTTACCGGATGTTCAAGAAATATTAATCTCAAACAATGGATTATGCCAGAGTCTTCCTTCTTCGCCGCAGGCCAGAAGAAAGGCAGACTCTGGGTAKGAGGTTGGAGGCTCGTCAATTAAAGTCCTTATGTAGTTAGTACTCTATTCTACTAAAATCTCTTACTTTCACTTTCATTCCCTTCTTAGTGCCGAGCAAAAGGGGCGAAATTTGCCAATGGTGAAATAAAAGGAAAACTGATAGGGCAAATTGAAGATCTCAAGGCGAAGTACAATGTTAATGTAGTTGTTAATTGTACGGGTCTGGCAGCGAGAGAGTTGGCAGACGACAAGAAAGTCTCCCCTCTCAGAGGTACTGATCATGAAGAAATTAAATTCTTACAGAACGACCAAACCACCAACCCACCAACCTACCAATCTACTAAACTACTAACCTACGAACCCACAAACCCATCAAATCCAAAAACAAACCAACCCACCAACGTACCAACCCACCAACCACCAACTCACCAGCCCACCAAGGTACCTATACAAAACTTTTTCTAAAGCGGTAAAAAATCTAGGATTGTTAACTAAAAAGCCCCCACATTCTACAACACTACTTCTTTATCCATCTTTGACAACATAAAAATTTCATGTCTGTTGTTCTTTCCTTAAATTTGTCCCAAAATACTTTTCTGAACATTTGCGAGTAGTGTTACTTTGAAATCAAACGTAGCCGTGTCGTGCACGTGTGTACACGGACGGACGGAAGTGAGGTAATCTAGCCATGCACAAAAAATCATGTCGATGGTTTATCAATCAATGGTTTACCAGTATGGTAAACCATTCGGCCCGCGAGGAAGCTCCGCTATTTTTCGTTTGCACATGATGTCATAGCTGCCATTGTGGATGAATTTAACAAAAGACTGGCCACTGTGTCTTTTGTTATTTCACACCCCTGGGATCGGGAATGAGATGATTTTAATATGAGATGATTTTAATTGACTGGGTATATCTGTATGAAATGACGTTGATACATATCAAGACTTGTATGTTTGTTAGGTGTATGTGGGGTTACAAGTATACATTTTATTATAAACTTCGCCACATTGGCAGGGAAACCCCACACCAATTTCATTCCTGCATATTAATTTGAATTTCTTATATCTCTTAGGTTATGTGCTGAAAATTAGGAACGATGGTGTGCTGATGCCTAAACTGGATTTTTCCATTATTTTTCATCACGCCATATTTTTGAACCCTGGAAAGGATAACAGCAATGTGCACATCTATATTATTCCAAGAGGTATGTGTATTCATTGATCAATGTAGGAAGAAGCAGTCTTTACCAATTCATATATGTTACGAGAACAACAACAACAACAGCAACA